ACACCTGTCCGTAAAACAGACCATGAGCTAACTTAATCTTTATAATGTTGCTTTATAGTGTCAAATAAGTCTATTGGAGCTGAAGGTAATCGTGCATATATGGAAGAACTCTAGAAAAACTATCGCGTTACATATTTGCATCTTGCAGAACAGCATAAAGTAAATATGCATAAAATTCAATAAAAATGTTTTATAACGAAGTAAAATGATTCTGAAAAATCTTATATACATTCACTTATAGGTACTTTATACATATAATTCCTTGGTAAAAGAAAACGAATAGGAATACATAGCATTACTGCCTGCTGTGTCAGTTTTGGAGCCCATTTTGTCAGACGCTCATTTTTGCATACCTTACGAAAAAATTAATTATTGAAAAATTGCAAATAGTATTATAAAAACTGCTTATACTATCTGATAGAAGACAGTTTTCAATTTGTAATTACGTTTTTAAAGTTTTATTTTTACCTTTTATTTAAGAAATATTGTCTAAAAACAAAGTGGTATGTCGGTATCGGCGACTTTCCTCTAATAAAAAATAATAGATTTCAATCTATCAGAAACTAGATACATCGAAATATACGATTTCTAATAGATTGAAATCTGGGGGTCGATCGTGTAATTTGAAATGAGGTGAAAATTACAAAAGTGAGCAAATTCACTAGAATATTTATAATTTTATTGGTCAACACCTAGTAAATTTGCTTACTTTTGCTATTTTCACCTCATTTTAAGTTATCGCTATTGCCGCATATTATGTCTGAGACTTAACTTCAAAGAATTAAATAAACAATTAATAATTACGGATAAAATGTAACTAAATAAAAAGTTAAAAAGTTAAGAGTCTAAAATGTAACTAAGTTAAGTTAAAATGAATTAACTTTTTAATTTTTTAACTTTTATCTTTTTAACTTAGCGCTACCTAACCCTGATTATATGTGTACATTACAGAAAGAACGCAAAACGTTTCGCTTGTAGACTGGGGGAGGAATTTCATTTGTGCATTTTTTGTCGTACGACAAAATTTTCAAGGCTGCTGATTGGCTATAGGATAGAGAGATCGGAGGAACTCTCTATCCTGCACACATTTGTCGTACGACAAAAAAGCACAAATGAAACCTCACCCTGGTGATCGAATGTTAACCGACATCCTAAAATTGAATCGAGTTAGGATAACGAATTAAATCGCTCGAGTGCAGGTGGAGGGAAATTTACATATCGATCTGAGTCTGAGACAGACGCGTGGAGTGGACTCACCAAAAACACGAGGCTTATGGCCGCCAGCGAGTACTTGGAGAAGTTGTAGCAAAACGTCCCCATTTTGCCCGGATCGAAATGAAATGGGAGTACCGAAAACGCGAGATTTTAACGATGATTCGAGTGACCCCGCACGACGCGGCGTTTCGACGCGGAACGTCAGCTGCAGCTGGAACACCGTTCCACAAACAGTGTACGAACTAACGAATCGTAAGATCCGTAGGACGCGCGTCCCGCTTTTGCAGCCCGCTTCCGCAGACGCGCTCCAATGTAACGCAGATGCGCTCCTCTTTTGGGGGGAGACTCCGACACTCCGACTCGATGGCGGTGAAGGCGGCAGGAAGCGGCGCGACGACGCTTCGCTCTCGCGTCCTCGACACTTGACGGGGATTACAAGCCAACGCTCGGCGCAACACGACAGTCCACAATCCACCAGCTTTACGCGAGCAACTCCGTCCACAACGCACTTGAATACACCTAAATACACTGGAGAGTGGAGAGTAGAACTAGAGCGAAGCAGAGCAGACGGCGGATTGTCAGTGTCAGTGGACCGGGGGATTGTCAAGTGCAGCTTGCGCTACCAGCTAGTGAATACAGAAATTAAAACGATTAGACCATCTGTACTGCGCTCGATAAATGTGCGATGACATTGGAATTCGATAATTTATCTACTGTCGGTATCTTATAACTTACCTACTGTCAATATTATATAATTTACCTACTAACAGTACATATACTTTTTATCATATAACGGATACGATGTTTTATTGAAAGTAATTTAAAGTAAATTTATAAAATTCTTTTTTTAATTGGTCAACAAAACTTTCAAAGCATTTGTGATAAAACTTTGACTGCAACTATTAGGTGTACAACTTTGCTTCCACCGTTTTTTTTCCGAAATTCAAGGCTTTATTGTAAAAAACTGGCTATACATTTATGATTCAAAGTATTGTCACGGGGGGTGGCACACAGTTGGATACGGCTCAATTGGACACGAGTCACTCACAGCGCTTGATACCACAAAGCTCCTAAGCACCGGTCGCTGTGATTGGTAGTGTCCAATCGAGCCGTGATCAATCGGGATCACCCCGTCACTGGCCACTACTTTCTCCCATTTTTCGGGAAGCGTACGAATCCCACGTCGAAAAAACTGATCATCTTTTGAGGTGATCCACGAATCGATCCAATTTCTTACTTCTTCACAAGACCGGAAGCTGGTCAGCCAGGCCGTGTACCGTGTACCATTGATCGAAACAAGTGATAGTCAGAGGGAGCAACGTCTGGAGAATACGGCGGGTGGGG